AGCGAAAGATTCGCTTACAGAAATGACCAGAAACTGCCGACTCGAATATTTCCTTCTACCGGGCGCGCGCAATATCATGAGCGCGTTTTATCACCGCGCTCGCCATAAAATTCACAGGTTCATGGTCAGGCCTTGACCATTGAGTTATACGGGTTGTAGTGTGAGTCACTCACAGTGAGTGACAGGTCTAGTTGATTAACAATTTTCCAAAGCGCGTAGCAAAATTATCCCCCACACTCCAAGCTCGAAAAAGCCGTCTTGTCGGAAGTTACCTTTGCATGGACGACCGCGGCCTCCCAATGGGAGGCTCCCATCATTAAGAAGAGAGCTTTCAGAAATTGAACTACAGTAGATCGGCTAGTAGGCATATTGCTAGTAGCAATTAACCACCACAAGACATGGTTATCGAGCTCAATCCTTTATATAAGATGAAACGTAAGGGCGGCTACCCATCGCCGCAGTGCGGATTACACGCCCAAGTGCCAATTTTCCTGTGAATGCAAGAAAGACGCATGTTTAGACCACCGCTTATTCCGTGTAATGCCGAAACGCTGGACCGAACTCGGGAAAAATGTGGGAAAAAATGTGGGAAATTTCCGGGAAAATTTCCCGGAATTTCCGGGAAATATGGGAAATGGGAAAAAATCGCCTTTTTTCCCAAAACGGACAAACCCTGCGGGGGATTATTCGGGTTGTCTTGCAGTTATTATTTGATCCACCTCTTCGCTCCTTCCCTTGGGTCGCGTTCTCCTTTGGTGCATCATCCGTGTGGGATCTACTTGGTAACTTATCTGTTCTACGAGACTATGGTACTTGCTCAAGAAGATCTGGACGCTATCCGTGAGTTGTTGAAGGCCGAAGCTCCTGAGGACTACACACTCTCTAAGTCGGTCTTTGATACCGCCAACCCCACCCACTGGGATCAGGTGATCCAAGCTATTGATAAACGTTGGAATACTATGCAGAGTATGACCGAGGGGTTCACCAACGTTCAGCAGTTCCGCCAGTGGTTGACTCAGAAGGGTCAGGAGTTTGCTCGAGGACTTCGTGCTACTGGGGAGGACTTGGAAGGGTGTTCTATCTCGCCCACTTCATGGGGGGCCATACAGGAAAACCAGTCCTTGAGAGGAATGGAACCTTCCCAGCGTGCTATGGCGAAGACCATTAATAGTATGGCGGAAGTGGCTAAGTCTATGGCAAAATCGAATGAATGGATGGCCAAAGAGGTTACTAAGTCCTTGGCCGCGGTGAGTCGCCCTGCCCCTACCACGACTACGAGGCGTCCCCTGGCAGAGGTTGTTTGTTATACTTGCAACAAGAAGGGTCATTTGGCTTCTAGGTGTCCTATGAAGGATGCCAAGGAGTCTACGGCTTGAAGGCGCTTTGAGAGGGGGATGGGAGGCCCCCCTCTTCGGCAGGATGACGTCGCCTCCTTGCATGAATTAGCCACCGATGTTGGCTCTGATCGTGAGTCGGATTATTCCGACGGTAGTATTAGTAGTGAGGTATATAGTAAGGTATGCGTTACTCCCCCTGGAGGGGGGAGATGGTATGATTATCCTGGTGAGGTCTCATGTACGATGGATGGATCGATGAATGTGGATGAATTCCCCGACAATAAGGATGAGGCCTATTTTCTTGAGGTTCCGGTATCTAGATCGACCACGTTAAACTATTTGAGGTCGAGGGCAAAGGCCCCAGTGTCTGGTACGAGACCGCTCTCTCTCAAGGGTTCTATGAGCTCTACTTCCCCATCTACCGATGCAAGGAGCAATGGTGTGGCACCCATAGCACCGTGTCCCGCTGATAAACTATTAGGGACCCAGCCTGGGCTGGTTAGTGTTGGTACAGATGACTCGCGAAGGTCAAACTATAAGGAGAGAGAACCCCCTAGTCCGGTGAGATCACCGGAGGGTAAGAAGAGTAAGACTGTTACTCTGTATGTTAGTGATACTTTGAGGTTAGTTAAGCAAGATGATAGCTACCACGTCCACCAAGTGGCCAATGACCTTCTACGAAAACATGCCCATACGGCAGCGGCTTTGAAGTTGGATACTTGGGCACAAAGACGGTTCCGAGTGAAGGAAGAGAACAACCCCGAATTAGCAAAAGCGGTAGAAGACCTGTTTCAGCACCAAGTTCTGCGGCCTGCGGACCCCCGAGAACTCTTGGTGCCTACGTCGTTGTTCGTTACGTCCAAGGGGCCTGGCCGTATGAGGGGAGTGGTAGATTTATCTATGTACAACAAGTGGTGTGATGGAATCTCCCTGAGGAGAAAGAAGCAACAGCAATATCGGTTCGGAATCGGAGGCATCGGCAATACTCTCAACAAGCTGCGGTCTGGAGATGAGTGGGCCCAATTGGACCTGAGCCGAGCCTTCTACTCTTTACATTGGTCGGTTACTTTAGCGGGAAGTGGTCGGTCGTGTGCCCCTGGCCTCTTTGTCAGGGGGAAGTGGTATGCTATGGACAGACTAGCTAT